GGTTGCTGCGAATGCGGCGAGGCTTGGGCTGCAGGGCGACAGCGCAGGGCATGGAGGGAACTTGGGTGCGAACAGGGTGTTCTGGGTGTTGTGGTGGCCCGAATGGGATGTCGCCTGCGCGAGGCTCGCAAGCGGCATGCATTGACGCTGCTGCGGGTGCGGAAGCCAGCCTCGGCGGGATACTGAATGTATGATCTCGTGTCGACAGGCGGGGGGCGTGTCTGCTTGTCTGACAGTCGGGCCGCACATGTATGATTTCGTTCCGCGTGTTCTCTGAAGAGCTGCGAGGCTGTTGCCGCTCACCAAATGTGAATGTTCTTCGTCGTTTCCCCCCTCCGCCCTTGCTTCCTCCGCCCTTGCTTCCGCCGCCCTTGCTGCCCTTGCTTCCGCCGCCCCTTCCCCCTTCCTGCCTCCTCCTCCCTGGCCCAATGAGTGTTGTTTGGTGCACCTGGGCGCTCTTCGTTTCTCATGGTAATTTGCGAATTGTGGTCCGAAGGCTCATATCTCGTCTTTCGTTGTTCCATGCGTAGATCAGTCTAGGTGGCACCCGGGGCAGTATTGGCGAGTTGTGATGTCTTTGACGCAATATTATCAACGCACGCTTTCCTCGCACTCGCCCTCGCTAGTGATGATGAGGATGACGATGACGGTACTGATGGTAACGATGATGATGGTGATGATGATGACGGTGATGGTGGTGATGGTGGTGATGATGATGATGTTGATGATGATGATGATGATGATGGTGATGGCGATGATGATGATGATGATGATGATGATGATGATGATGATGATGATGATGCTGATGCGGATGCTGATGCTGATGCTGATGATCATGATCATGATCATGATGATGATGATGCTGATGATGATGATGATGATGATGATGATGATGGTGATGATGATGATGATGATGATGATGATGATGATGATGATGATGATGATGATGATGATGATGATGATGATGATGATGATGACGGTAGCGATGCTGAAGGCACGGGGTCTCTTGGGGCCATCTTGGGGCTCTCTTGGGGTTCTCTTGGCGCCCCCTGCGGGCCCTCTTGGGGATCTTTTCGGGCCATCTTGGGGCTTTTGGGGCATTCGGGGGGGGTCTGAGAGGTCTTTGGGACATCTTGGGCCGCGTGGCTCAAAAGGAGGGGGGGTCCTCAATTCAGATTGCTCTCTTGGAGGCTCAGGGAGGTCGTCTTGGGGCTCCTTGGGGCGCTCTTGGGGATCTCTTGGGGCTCTCTTGGGTCCTTATTGGGGCTCTCTCTTGGGCCGTCTTGGGGCCATTCTTAAGGCTTCCGAGGCTTTTCGGGAGCGACGAAGCGAAAACATGCGCACACATTGTTTCCCCTTAAGTTTTGGAGCTATTTGGGCTTCTTTGGGGGGTTCTTTGATGGCTCGGCGTGCAGCTGGGCACTTGGAGGCAATTTTGGATGTCATTTTGGCGCCTTTGAGGCTCTCTTGGGATAATCTCGGGCTACTTGGGGCGCTCTAACTTCTCGCGGGGCGCTCTTCCCAGGCCCGGGCCATCTTGGCTCCTTCTGGGCGTTTCCGAAGCTCGGAATTTGTTTATGCGCGGCCTGCGCGGCCGCTTGGGCTTGGGCGGGCCCTCCCGAGCGGGGCCCGCAAGCGGCGCAGGGCGTGCATGGGGAAATTCGGCCACCCCTTACGCTTCGCGAATCTCGGAGGAGGGCCAGAAGGAGGAGGAGGAGGAGGAGGAGGAGGAGGAGGAGGAGGAGGAGGAGGAGGAGGAGGAGGGGGGGGAGGAGGAGGAGGAAGAGGAAGAGGAGGAGGAGGAGGAGGAGGAGGAGGAGGAGCAGGAGGAGGAGGAGGAGGGGGAGGGAGAGGAGGAGGAGGAGGAGGAGGAGGAGGAGGAAGAAGAAGAAGAAGACGAAGAAGAAGAAGAAGAGGAGGAGGAGGAGGAGGAGGATTTGTTTGACATCCACAGCCACAGAGCCCCTCAGAGGGGGCAAACAGCTTCGAGATCGGCAGTGACCCTTATGATCAAGGTGGGGACCTTTGCCCAATCTCGTCCAAACTTCGCTCCGAGCAGGCGGGCTGCCAAGGCATCGCTTAGCAAGCCGCCTCATCTGACCTCCAGTCGTGAACGCGGCGCAGACCTGGCAGACACACGCGAAACTTCCGTCGCTGAAATCTACCACGAGGCAACGATGCTCGAGCTCCCGCAACTTCGCGGGATCAATTCTTAAAGAACGGTCGCGAATTCCGGGAGCTGGCTTAGCCGAGGAGCGGGACCCACGGAGGCAGTGGCAACATTGCCAGTAGCGCCCGACCCAACTCCAAACATGCGGTGGCCTCGGATTTTTGACCTTCGGGGGCGGGGGCTCGGCACGGGCAACCCCCTCGAGATTCGTCCGAGGCCATCTCTCCATCAGGTGCGCTGCCAGACGTGTGACCGCGCGCGAGACCGAACATAAAAAATCGATCCGAATTGTTTCCGTTTGAGACAGCCTGGGATGCATTACAGCGCCTT